TCGATACACAAGCCTGGGTTGTCTTGAAAAGGTACTTATAATTTCTTTTGAACTAGGTAAATATATGTGCCCTTGACTTATTAAAAGGGTAAAATACAATAATCCACTAAAATATGAGTGTTTTATGTTGCTTTGGGCCTTGTTCCTTCAAATTTATCACTATAATCATTTGAGTTTTCAATTTGTGGCACTTTTTTTTTAAAAAAAATAAAATAAAAGGCAGCTGTCTAAAATTGACTAACATAAAACCACACGATAGAGTGTCATTCTTTGAAATTGTGAGAAAGTGACAAAAAAAAATAAAAGAACAAGGTAAAAAGGACACAAATTGAAATTGACGAACCTAAGTGATTATGGTGAAGTGAGACGAACGTAATCATTTTTGTCGGTCAATGTCAACTGCCATTTTTTGTTGCTCCAAATTGATAGAAATTAGAATTTGAAATCACAACATTAAAAATATGAAGACCAATGTGACACAACTCTCACATTGAGAGCCCATTACGATATTCAACTACACATTTTGGACATATGAAAAAAAGTTTGGACTTAACTACTAACTAAAAAAATAATAATAAGACTTGGGGTCAATTACAAATTATATCCTAAAAGATTATTCGAATCTCAATTCACACCTTCAAATATCAAAAACTTAATTTGTACCCTCAAAAATATAAATTTGTATCAATGTGCATCTAAAACTAACAACTATCAATTTGTCATCTAATATTAAAATAGATAAATTATAACTAGGTCCCTCACATTTGAAGTATTATACTTACATGATCGCCTGAGAATTCAAATATGACTAAAAATGTTCTCCTAATTGAGCTTCCAAATAATTCTGTTTAAGTAATGTATTGCATTGGATATAAAAAATGTTATGTAAATATATGCATTATATTAGACATTCAAATGATGAGTTTGATTTTGAACTTTAGATTATAACGGGCCCACAAAATAAAGGAAAATATGAAAATTATAATTTTTTATTAGGATGAAACCATATTTTTTAATTGTTATATTAACAAATATCAATGACAAGGAGTTATGTGTTATACGTGCACAGACGTTAGGATGTGTAGGAGTAATATTCTAAACGTGAGAAGGTCCAAATGATTAAGTGATAAACTTGAGGGGGTCTAAGTGTAGCTTACCCAACTAGTTTTAGACGGCAAAAAGTTATTAGTTTTAGATGTGTATTGATACAAATTTATATCTTTGCACTATAAGAAAAAAAAAAAAAGGTTTTTATGGCGATAAAGTGATGTCATAAAAGGTCTATTTGTAGTCACAAATACTTTTTTGGGCAGCATTGTGGCGACATTGTCTCGCAATAATAAGTGTGGTCTCAAAAGGTTTTTACGGCAGCAACGGTCTGTCTCAAATAGTATTTATGACAGCAAGACCCTGTCGTAAATAATTTGTAATAAAAAATCCAGCACTTTTGTTTTTATCACGGCGGCAAAAGTGCTGCCTCAAATACCACATTTGACTGTCGTAAAAAATAGAAGATATATTTATGACGGAAACGATGCTGCCACAAAAAAAAACAAAATTTTTTTTACTTATTATGGACCGTTGGTAACTAATGTTATATACCCTGTGCATATATACACTCTGTACAACTTTTTTTTTTTTTTTTTGGAGGGGGAAAGGAGCTTGAACCCTTGACCTCAAGAAAACAAAACTTTCACATTGTAAAGAGTACCGTTAAACCAAAGACTCATTAGTATCTGTACAACTACCCAATTCGATATATAGACAAACACAAAAGTAAATATAATCAACATTTTTAAAAACCTAACAATATTTTCATTAAAAATAAATAAATTACATGAGTTAAACAAAATGTAAAATATGCACTCTATGAGTACAAAAAATTAATGCAAAAAGTTGAACATCTTTCCCGAACTATCTACTCTCTCAGTGGCATATGAAAAAAAAATATAAATTATTGTTACTATACTAAAATGTTATATATATACAATAAATAACTAAAAGAAGGTAGAATTTATATCAACAGAGGGTCATGTAATATTTCTCTGAATGGTTTGTCCAATTATGTAAATGGTATATAAACGAGTCATATCGTATACATTTCTTCTAATTAGTTTAACCAATACCGAATACGTTTATAATTGTATTGTGTCAAGTTCAATCGTTTACTAAATAAGTGGTTTAAGGAAGACTGAAATCCACTAATTTTATGTCGTGTTAACGGGTCGTGTTATATTTTGACACCCCTATTTTTGATATAAGAAATTAACTTTGTAGAGTTTAATTTTTTTTTCTTTGAACTAAAAATTGTATTTTAATGTAAAATTTCGTAATTTTATAAAATATTACTTGTAACATGAAAAATAGTTGTGGCCAATATAAATTTTTTTTAGAGTTTTTCTTCTTTAAATTATAAACTGTTTTTTAATCTAAAACATTTTAATATTTTATTAAATATTATATACAACGAAAAAAATATCTACCAGGAATATAAAAAATTCTTTTGAGTTTATAAAATATTATTTGAGACAGGAAAAACAGTTGTCTTAAATACAAAAATTTCTTTTGAGTTTATAACACTATTTACGGAAGAAAAAATAGTTACCACAAATATTAACAAAATACTAATACAAACATACTTTTTGTGACGGCAAACACAGTCGCCACAAAAAATTGTCTCAAACATGTCTTTTGTGACGGCAAACACAGTCGTCGTAAAAAATTTGTCACAAAATGTCATTATTCTTCTAGTGTTGAGAGTATAAATTAAATTTTTTATCTTTGAAGGTGTAAATTGAGATTTGAAAAAAATTTGCAGTGCAATTTGTAATTAACTCTAAGACTTTATACCATATATATTTAAGGGGTTGTTTAATAACACCACTTAAGGCTTAAAACTGAATACTTTAAGCATTTAATAATGTAAAACTCATACTACTTAATATTTTAAGCACTTCTTAAAAATATGTTAAAAATTTAAATAGCAAACCACCTATTTATCACTTAGTGCTTAAAATGTTAGCTAGTAAGCATTTTATCAAATTCTCATAATTGACAAATATTTCATCACCACCATTGTGTAATCGCCACCACTACTAACACTATCACCACCATTACCAACACTGCCGCCATCACCACCATCATTACCATTGTACCACCATCACCATCATCGTCACCACCATCACCACCACTGTCATTGTGTCATTGTCACCACCAACATCATTGCCGCCACCATTATCATTGTGCCACCACTACCATTACCATTATGCCACTGCCACTACCACAATCACTACCACCACCATTGCTGCAACTATCTCTACCATCGTCACCACCATTGTATCGCCGCCGTCACCATTACCATTATGTCACTGCTACCGCCACCATTGTGTTGTCACTACCACCGCCACCACTACTGTCATTGTCATTGCCATCACTACCACCGTCACCATTGTCACCACCATACTATCATTGTGCCACTGCCACCACTATCATCGTTGCCTCCACCACTACCAATGTACCACCATTACCACCACCATCACCACCTGTCAATGCCACCACTATCATCGCTGCCTCCACCACTACCATTGTGTCATTGCCACCACCACTACTGCCATTGTCGCCACCAACTCTACCACTACCACTACCACTATCATCAACATTGTTTCGTCGTCACCATCACTACCATTATGTCACCACCACTACCATTATGCCACTGCTACCACCAGCACCAATGTTGTCGTCAATATCACCATCACCACCACCATTATTGTACCATTGCCACCACCACCATTATTGTACCACCACTACCACTGACACTGCCACTATCACCAACATTGCTACCACGACCACCACCATTGGGTTGGCGCCACGACTACAACCACTATTTTGATGGTAGTGATAGAAAAAAGACATTTGTAGAGAGATGGTTAAAAAGAAAAACAAAATTAGAATAATAATAATTTTTAAACTTCAACTTCTTATATTTGTCAAATAATTTGATTAAATTCAATACTTAAATTTCAGTTGATAACAAATAATTTACTAATTAAAAAATTCAGTATTTAAAATTCAAAAATTGATTTTTAATTTTATCAAACACCACCTAATGGGCTTAATTCCTTAAAAATTTCAAAACCAGACTCGCCTGTGATTATCACAAAAAAGAAAATGAAAAGAAAAAAAGTTGCTTTTGTACACTTCCAAAGGAATTCATTTCCTTTATATTGTAAGCTGGGAACATTAATCTTTTGTTTTGGTCATGCATGCAGGCTTTACATTTGATGGCTTGTTGGGCAGAAAAACCAGATTCAAGAGCATTCAAATTGCACCTGGCTAGGATTCCAGATTTCTTTTGGGTTGCTGAAGATGGAATGAAAGTGCAGGTTTGTCCAAACCAGACTTTCTTTTTTGGTTTCAAAGATTGACACCCCCCCCCCCCCCAGACCTTACAGTAGCAGAGAGCCACCTTTTACAAAAGTAATGTCCAAACCTCCCATTTTATTTGTCAAGCTCAGTGCTGCACTTGCTAAATTGTTTCTTCAATTACAGAGTTTTGGAAGTCAATTATGGGATGCTGTTCATGCTACACAAGCAATTATAGCGAGTAATCTTGTTGATGAGTTTGGGATTACCCTTAAAAAAGCACACAATTTTATCAAACAGTCACAGGTTTCTCTCTCTCTCTCTTTCTCTATAATTCAATATGTATCCTATATGTATGTTAAAATGTCTAGGAGAAACTATACTAGTGTCTCTTCTTCACCTCACTAATATTGGATCATCTAATTTAAAGATTCAAGAAAACCCATCTGGCGACTTTCAAAGTATGTATCGTCACATTTCGAAAGGGGCTTGGTCATTCTCTGATCAAGATAATGGTTGGCAAGTCTCTGACTGTACAGCCGAAGCAATGAAGGTAATTAAGAATTTTTTTTACAAGGTTACAACATGAAAAAGTTGCTATCAATTGGCAATTAACATATTTGTCTTCTCCTCTGCAGGCTCTATTCTTGCTCTCAAAAATGCCACTGGAAACTGTGGGGGAAAAAATAGAAGCTGAACGATTATTTGACGCTGTGAATGTACTTCTTTACTTGCAAGTACGAGCACCCATATTTTCTGTGTAGCAAATCTTAGAAACTTCCAGGGTCTTTTGGTTGTCATATGATTTCTACTAACAAATATTTCCTGTTTCCCAAATTTTCTTTTGTTTTACTTCTAGCACAAAAATGGAGGTTTTGCACCCTGGGAGCCAATAAGATCACCGCCATGGTTGGAGGTAACATCTTTTAAATAATGCAGTAGTTCAAATAATTTGGGCAGGCTCCAATTCCAGTATGTACCTTAATGTGCCTTTTACATGACCATCCAGAAAGAATTTTGTTTTCAACTGCAAAATAGGTGTGCCATTAATGTTCTGCTACTTTTCCCCTCAGCTGTTAAATCCCACGGAAGTTTTTGCCATTGCTATCGTTGATCATGAGTATGGTTTTTCACTTTTGCCTTTTTGATATCACACAAATTCTTATCATGAATTCTAATTAAATTTGGTCATTC